CCTTTAGAGACAGCATGAAAACTCAGCTGAGTGCAAAACATAGAGAAGAAAACAAGAAGAAAAGGGACAAGAAGACAAAAAAAAACATTTCTCGATCTGTATAATGGGTCTCTTTTATATGTTTTCTTCTCAATTCAAAGGGCCCCCTGCCTGTCTTTGCCTAGGGCCCCACATTTCCTAAATCCGCCCCTGGCAGATAGTCAGAAATGGTGAAAAGTTCCCGCAATGGGTTCACAACTGGGATATAAAGTTACTCTGCTTTTCAGGGAGATTATTGTGACAAAGTGAAATGTTTGTTCACTACTATGAAGGAGAATCACAGCTTTGATAGACCAGAACTGGCTTCCTGTAGGATGAGCTGCACTGGAACAACAGGATCAAGCCCAGCAGCCCCCCCAGTATGAGCAGCCGCCCCCTCAGGGGGGAGGCTGGAAGCAAACCCTACCTTTGGTCACATCGTGTAGAAAAAGCTGCTCCTCATTCCCAACACAAAGCAAACAGCCTTCTGTTGCTCCTGTGATGCACTCAGAGGTGATCCTGGCTCCAGAAAAGCCGCATCCACACAGCAGAGACATCAACAGTTGGACGAGACCCTGGATAAAAAGCAGCGCAGAGCTGCGTTTGAGTTCAGCATGGAAAAAGTAGCTCCGGGGGACTCACTGGACTCTTTTCACGGAGACTTAAAGCTGGAAAAACTTGGAAAACAGCTGTGGAAAAGCGGCTGGAAATTCACTTTTCCCTCCGCTCCTGGTAGCGATGAAGATATGTGGGAGATGTATCACTCTGCTGCTGCTGCTGTGTCCATGAGGGCGGGGCGGAGGAAGAGGGGGCGGAGCCATGAGGTCCAGATTTACTCTGCGGTCAGAGTCCCTGAACGCTGCCTGGCAGGCAGACTGCTGAGATCCCAGAAAGAATAGAGACTCACCTACAGCAGAGGAGACTAGGAACAAAATGCTTCATACTTTGTTACATATAAAATATAAATATATACACTACCGTTCAAAAGTTTGGGGTTACATTGAAATGTTCTTATTTTTGAAGGAAAAGCACTGTACTTTTCAATGAAAGTAACTTTAAGCTAGTCTTAACTTTAAAGAAATACACTCTATACATTGCTAATGTGGTAAATGACTATTCTAGCTGCAAATCTCTGTTTTTTGGTGAAATATCTACATGGGTGTA